CCATGAAAAACAGGATGACTGTTATAAATGAAAGTATTCTGGATGCCTGGCTGCAAGTCTGGGCTCTCCTTGAGCAGATGCAGGCAAATTGCTTAACCTTGTTAAGCCTCAAATTCCTCATCTGCAAATTTGGATAATAAATCTTGTCTCGGAGGGCAGTGTGAAAATGGGATGAGATAAAGCAAGAAAAACATCTGCAGGAGGGACTCAATACGTGTCACTTCCACCCCCACTTGCACTTTGCCCTTTTTCTCCCACAGATGATCTCAGAACAAGAGTAAAGAGCTTGAAACAGAAACCAACACAGTTCTCTTTAAAACAAGCATCAAATAGATCTCTGTCTGATCATGACTGAGTTTTCTAGTGCTGGTCTATTTCCTAATGTCAGATATTAGTAAGGTTCAGGGTCCAGGTCTTCTGTTGAGTGGTACCCACACTATTTTCCAATTTAAGATTTCTCTGAGATGAAATACAGAATTTCTCAATATGAACACCATCGAGGTATAATCTGTATCAGCATTTTTATATGGTGTCTTTATTTCTCTCTCTTCTCCACTGAGAGTAAGACTTGGGGTTTCTTGCTGATTTAAAATGAGTCATCTTATGTATTTATGTATCAATCCAATATGATAATAATAATAAAATGATAATATATTTCATTTTGAGAGCTTGCTCTGTGTTAGTATTTTAGGTGCATCAGTTCTTTTAACCTGTGCAACAAACCTTCATGATTTTATGTTATACTCATTATAAATAATGAGCCTGGGGTCTAGAGAGATGAAGTGACTTGTCCACAACTGCACAGAAAGTAAGTGAAGAACCTAGGATTTGGAAAGAAATCATGTGAATCCACTGTGTAACCACTACCCCTCAACCAAGATGGCATTTTCTGTCACTCAGGAAGGGAGAAGGTGTGATAAGCGATGCAAGAAGTAAGGAAGTGTTGTATGTATATGTGTTTTAATTGCTGTTCCTCATGAATCATAAGTCACTCTTGTTTATCAAGGAAGGCACAAGGACAAGCAAACAGAATGGCATTTATCTATGATTAAAAAATTATGACCATTTATATGCAAATGAAGTTTGGACCTATGCTTCTGAAAGACTGAAGGGGATTATGCACGGTCATAAATTTGGGGTTTTTCTTCTTTTCACACACTCCCAGGGCAAGTATTGAGGTTCAGCAGTGTTCTCCAGGAAGACTGGGAGGACGATTGATGAGCTTGGTTTGTTTCAAAAGATACAGTCACAATTAGTGGCTGTGCTCATTTCCCTTCATCCATTTGCTGGAGAACCCTTGCCAGCCTCCTGATCAAATGCTCTCTGCTCTGTGAAGCCTTCTACAGGAATACTTTGGTTTCAGCGGAGTTAGTTGCATTTTTTCGGGGCTCTGTAATGACATGAATCAAGTTTGCTAATTCATTCATAGGCTCATTCATTCAACACATTGCCCATTGAGCACCTTCTTATACCAGATACTGTCCTAGATACTGAAGATAAAGTTCATATCTGATTCTAGAGCAAAATAGAGAGATAAGGTAACTGTTCTTCCATGAAGCTTAATTGCCTGGAGACAAATAAACAAGTAAGCAAAAACAATACATATAACAGAATTACAGGAAATGATTTGTACAGTGAAGAAATACAAGCAGGCTGGTGGGTGGTCAGGGAAACTCTTCTAAAGAGGGTTTTATGAATAATGACCTGAATGAAACTAGAGAACAAGCTATGGAAAGGTCTGGGATCAGAGACCAAGGCAGTGGAATTGTAATTTCTGCCAATATGCATGCCATGTAATGGCAAAAACTATGGCCAGTAATAATGGAAATAGTGATGACCATGGATAATATTCAGTATTATACTTGAGCGTCTATTAGGGTTTAGCTACCTTGCAGGTGGTTTGTACTCATTTATTCTTCACGGTAGCCCATGGGAGGTGGATATTGCTGTATGATTTACAGATGAAGCAAAAACCCTTAGAAAAATAAGGTGACTGGCTCACTGTCAACAACCAGTAAGGGGAAATTAGCTGAAACTCAAAATCCAACCTGTCTCCAAAGCCTACTACCTTCAATGGCCCCTTGTCTTTATATTCCCAGAAACTAACCCTGGAGTCTGGCACTGTAGACACTTAGCAATAGGATGATTGGGTGAATGGGTGATTTCAGTGTCCTCAGTGTTTCATAAATGCCATCTCATATGACTATTTAAATTTTGGGCAGGCCTGAGGCTGTGGTGCATTTAGGCATTTGACAAGTATTGCACCTGTGAGAGGATGGTGGAATAAAGCCTAAGGCCCTGAAAGGTAAGTAATTTTACTGTTGAAAGTCACATGTGGATATGAAATGAAGCATGGTGACTCTGTCTCTACCTCCTCTATTGCATATACATCTCTTTAGAAAGAGGATTATTTTCTTTTACCATACACCCACACATCAGAGACACAGTCCTATTCCCACAAATGCAAAACGTAACAAACAAAAGGTAACAAACAAAGATGCACATGGACACAAAGTATGAAGAAACCCAGGCATGTGAACATGAAGCTGACTTTATCACAACCAGTTTGGCTCTAAGTTCCAGGGTCAGTTCACAGCAGCTGGGAGAAATTTCTGTCTCTATTTTTGTTGCTGCGGCAACAGCCAAGTTCTCCAAAGTTCTTTCCTCCTGAGGCCACGCAACCTCCAACTGCTTCTTCTCCCTTCTCAGCTTCTTTCAGAGGGGTTGACTTTCTGAGTTCCTTCGGATCTCCCTGGTGGAGTCAGGTGGCGCAGCTTTCCTGAAATCCTTGCTCCTGTCTTAAGGCCTTGACATTGAGTGGTCCCATGCCTGGGATGCAGACCCTACACCCCATGGCTCCCTCATCATCTTCCAGTCTTTGCTCAAATGCCCCTTTTTAAATAAGATCTGAGTCGACCCAATTATTATTGCAGCCTAATGATGATAATGGTGATGATGACACAACTACTACTATTGAGCATCTATCAAGGTCTAGGTACAATTTAGGTAACTTGCACTCACTTATTCTGCACGACAGCCTTGCGAGGCAGAATTGTCATGTTTGACTTACACATGAAGCAAAACCTTCAAGCAAATAAAGTGACTTGTTCAAGGTCACTCCTGCTGCCCTTTTCCCTACCTTGCTTGGCTTTTTCTTTACTTTATAGCAATTACCATTTTCTGACAAACTAAATAATGTACTTATTATGCATTATTGAATGTTGTTTTTCTTCTGTCCTACCCTATATACACATGTTAGGATAAAGCTCTACTTAGGTGAAGATATTTCTCTGCTTTGTTCCAAAGCACCAAGCACAATGTCTGGCATGGAGAAAACTCATAACATATGTAATGAGTGAATGATTGAATGAATAATTACTGATCACCTCATTTTGACCAGGCTTTGCGTTGTCATTTCACCTACGCTTTGCTCTGTGAAACAGAGATCATCATCACCAGTTTGCAGATTTAAAAACAATTAGTCCAGAAAAGGAAAAGCAACTTGCTTAAAGTCACTGAGCTAGTCTGAAATGAGATTTAAAAATATATACTGCTTACTCCAAAGTGCTATGCACATTGGTTCTTTCCACCCAAGGACACTGTGGCCAGCTCAGTGACACTTAGAACCTTCAAGGGATCTCAGAGGAAGGTGTCATCCCTTGCTGTGCTCATGTCCTCAGGATTATGACTTTGACTTGATGGTGTGGAATTTTCCCTCTTCCTATTCTGGATCTGACCACTAGCACCACAATCCACAGACTTCTCTAGAGCTGATTCTTGGATGTTTCTTATGATTTCTGGAAGCCTTGGGATCTCTGTGCTCTTGGTTAACTGATCACATGCCAAGGCCACCTGACAGAAGGACTTTTGGACCAGAAGATTCTGAAAGTCAGAGAGACCTCATGCAGAATTTCCCCCTTTCACCTGATCTTCTCCCTTCTGGGCAATCCCATCACTCTCTGTGGCCACAGCTGGAGCTGTCTCAGCCAGAAGTTGACTTTAACTCATCCTCATCGGTTATACAAGCACCAGCATTCAGAGCCTCTCACACAGGCTGCAGCCTTGCAAAGAGACTGGTGTGGAGGGAGACAGAGACTGAGGAAGAGAAGGAGCAGTAGAAGGAATACTTGACACTATAATGATGATTTTTTTATTTTATTTTTTTTCCTCTTTGCCTGCACCCATGTCCCTGCCTTGCCTCATCCTTTTCCACCCAAGTTAGAAATCTGGAAGTCACCATCAACTCTCTCTCATCTTCAGCTCCATACTGAAGCAATCGCGGATCCCCCTCTTTTCTTTCTCGCACGTCTTCACCCATCTCCTCATCTACAACATAACAGCTACCCTCTTGGTCCTGGCCCAAATCATCTTTATCCTGGAATCCAACAACTCCTTCTTAATTGTTCTCCTGGCCTCCAGATGTGTCCCAGTCCAATCACAAATGAAGTGTCATGACCAGATTCTTCTGCTACTAAAACTGTCAATGGCTCTTTACTATCCCAAGAATCACACCCACCCCTCTTTCCTTGGATTAAAAGGCCCTGTGTAATCAGGCTTGCACCAATGTCTCTAATTTCATCTCTGTCATGCCTTAGGCAGATTGATTTCTGGTGATTCCCATCATGTGCCTAGTCTGTTCTGTCATTCCCTGATATTTCTGCTTCATCTGACATACTAATCCTCTATTTCTGCCTGGCTAACACTCATCATTGAATACGCAAGTCAGGGGTCAACTTCTCTATTGAGCCATCCAGATATCTGCCACCACTCTCCCCTCCGCTGGTACCTAAATGGTTATTCCTTTATGGCCCAATTCAAATAGCCTTACTTATACCTTATACATATCTCCAGTTGCCCTCACTGGACCATGTGACCCACTGAATCAGCACCTCCATCTATGCTGTGAGCTCTAGGGCAAGACTTGTGTTTGTCTTGTCTTAGCTTGCCCAATTCCTGACTCAGGACATGGAGCCAGGGCTGGGTTCTTTTTTGTGTGTGTGTGTTCTGGGGCTCTTTTTATTAGACTGGGTGGCCACGGCCAGCTCTAGGCAGGCTGCTCCAGCTCCATAAGGAAGCCCTCGATGACATCGTAGAGGCTGTTGGCTCTGGACAGGCAGAGTCTGAGGCTGCTGCTGTCCAGGGAAGACACCCCCTCGCGCTGCGTGCCCTCCAGGTACACTCGGCACAGCCAGGGCTCCAGCTTCACCAGGACCAGGCTCTTCTCCTTGGGTCTCCCAGCTGACAAGTCCTGGCCAAAGCCCAGGTAGATGGTGCAGCGTGGGGAGCTGCAGCGGCGCCGTGCCCAGAATTCCACCAGCTCTTGAAAGAAGACTCTGAAGTCGAAGATGGGGTGTCGAAGTTGCGAGGCAGCAGACAGGCTGAGGTGGAGGGGCTGGCGGAGCCTGGGGGGCCGCCTACCTCCCAGTATACCTTGCACTTGTCCATGCGCCAGTGCCCACAGCTGCGGCCCCCGAAGCTCCAGCTGCAGCCCGGGGGCCACGTGTCGCAGTAGCTCCTCCGTGTAGTGCAGCTGCTTCTGGTCCGGAAGCTCAGCAGGGATTCAAGGGTTCTCTTCAATCTAGCCCCAGCTGTCTCACTGATTTCTAGGAATTCCGACAAACCATGTCTTGTCTTAGACCCTCAGTCTTCTCATCTGTAAAATGGGCTGATTGAACTGAAGAATCACCAAGGTCTCTTTCTCTCCTGTTTCTAAAAATCTTGAATTCTAGGACAGTTTTCAGGTTGTTCATTACAGTTCCTGAGATGTGTACTCTAATATTACGTAAATTTGTGTCTTTTAGATATGCTTATTAAATATTTACTCAGAAAAAAAAAACACCTCTTATAGAGGTTAGTGAGAGTGATAAGAGGGTCTCATAAAATGGCAGGCTAAATTATTTTAAAAAACCCAAATTCTTGGGGGAAAGGATTAAGGTAAGGGATCATGCACAGAATGGAAAGATTTCCCTTTTCAGTGTACCCTATCAGCTGACAGGTCAACAGGGTTCCTTGATAACAATTGTTTGAGTAAATCACTGATCTGCTTTTTCTGAGAAAAGGAAAACCTCTCCTTTTTCTAATCCACATGTAGTAGAACTATGATACAGTCTTGCTGGAGTTACTTGTCTCCAATTACTTGTTCAGGTATAGAAAGACAATGAGGCTGAGATGTTTGGGTACCACTCCAACACGTGTGTAGCAAGTCTTCAACAGCACCTTCTCACTTAGGGGTCCACTTCATTTGTATTATATTTGCATGTGGCCCTTCCAACACCCGAGGTCCAGCCTCCACATGTTTATCCCTAGGAGTCCACCTCTTTCTTCCTTTTCCCTTGCCAAAGGCATCTGGCAGGTTGGTACTGTTTTCCATAGAAACCAAGATAGAGGAGAAGGGGGTTCTCTTAAATGCTAGAAATTTAGGGTGGCACTGCTGGGGGACTAGGGGCTTGCTAACACTTGGTGGTGGTTTTCTGGAGTTGATTTTCTTCAATATGGATACATTTCATAAGCTCAGTGAATTCAGCATCTCTCTCAGCAAGACTGGGGTGATATTTTCCCATTTCTTTCTCCCACGCATATAAAATAGTAGATTCTGAGTGGGAAGACGACAGGTACCTCATGACTTTCTTCCCATTGGGGATGTAAACTTTAACTTAGAACTGTCTTTGCTGCTGGGGAATGAGCCAGGGAAGGAGATTCATTCACCGTGTGTCTGGAAGTCACTGAGTCCCTCCCTGGACATCCAGTTTTCCTGGAGTACTCTGTCCTGATTTTAGGGTAGCAGAAGGGAAACTGCTGAGGAAGTGTCTCAGATCTCACTCTAATCAAAGCAAGAAAGAAAATGTAAATGCTGTAGCATTTCTCCTTTCTACTTTGGGGCTGGTGTTGTCTTATTTACTTCTCTGCCCCAGTGTGATGCGTGTTCCTCAAAGTGTGTGGCTTCTGATCTCACCTAGGTCTTCTTGCCCAGTAACCCCCTGTGTCTGATCATTCAGTAATAATCTTACTATTTGATCCAATTCTGACATCTGTGTAGCCTTCTCCAAGTGTGGCCTAGAAAGCTCTCTATTATTAGAGGGAACTTGGCCCTTCAAAGTCATCTGACATTTGTTGGACACTCAATATTTCTGAAATCTCATCGGAAATCATGCCTTTCCCCACAACCAGGCTGCAAAAATAATCTCCCCAAATTGTTTCTTTGCTCATCCTTGGAATTAAAGCCTCTCATATTCAGGCCAAGTGTGGTGGCTCACTCCTGTAATCCCAGCACTTTGGGAGACTGAGATGGACAGATCGTTTGAGGCCAGGAGTTTGAGATCAGCCTGGGCAACATGGTAAAACCCCATCTCTACTAAAAATACAAAAATTAGCTGAGTGTGGTGGTGCATGCCTATAATCCCAGCTATTCAGGAGGCTGTGGCAAGAGAATCACTTGAACCCAGGAGACGGAGGTTGCCGTGAGCCAAGATTGCATCAGTGCACTCCAGCCTGGGTGACAGAGTGAGACTCCATCTCAAAAACAAAACACAAACAAACAAAAAAGAAAAAAAGAAGAAAAAAGCCTTTCATATTCAATCAGGGGTTGTTTCAGAAAGATCAGAAGCTAGATTTGGGCATTTAAAAATCACTTCTAGATTGTACCTGAAATATGAAAGAGGAATATTAAAGTAGAGAGAATGGAACTGATTTTCCTGCAGTCACCTAGTGAGTCACAAACTGGAGCAGGAAAAATCAGGGCCAGGGCTGGCTGCTGACCAGGCAGAGGGTGTGGATGGGATAACTGAGGTCAGAAATGTAATTGAAGTGCATAGAAAGGGAGAGACATCTGGGCCTCCAGAAAACGAAGTGTCACAAAAGGAGACCAGTTACCTGCATCTGTGGCTAGCCCCAATGCACCATCTCCTGTCTGCCATGGGCTATGTGCTGTTGATGCCCCGGCACATTAATCTTCAATATAATCCTTTGAGGTGGGAAGAAGTACCACTGGAATTTGAACTCAGGACTTTCTGATCCCTGAGCTAGAACTCTTTACTGTATTACCCTCTCTTTGGGATGCAAGTATTTCAACCCAAGTATTTAGAGTCTCATAAACGCAGTGGTTTGTCTTTATTTTTATTGTTTCTGGTGTGTGTGTGTGTGTGTGTGTGTGTGTGTGTGAGAGAGAGAGAGAGAGAGAGAGAAAGAGAGAGAGAGAGAGAGAGATAAATGCTACAAATATCAACTCTCATAATAGAGAGAAATCTGCTTTCACTCTATTAATGGCATCAGTGACCATCTATCGATTTTTAAAAGGGAAATTAAAAAAAAAGTTGTTGCAAATTGTTGCTATTAAGTCCTGTTGGAGAGTTGATGCACGTGCTCCTATGAGGATGAGGGTGCGTGGAAATATGAGTCAGACACAGAGAATAAGAGATCTTTGTGTTTGCCACTGAAAGATCACAATGACAGCCACAGCAAATTGAGGGCCACTTGTTGAGCTTATAAGCAATCTTTTCTTTCATATGTATCTAGACAAAGTATAATAGCATGATGCAGTGGAAAGAGTGGACATTTAAAGTCCCCTGTCTGATACTAGCAAATGTGTGACTTTGGGGGAGTTGCTTATTTCCTGTGACCTTCATTTTACCCAGCTCTGCTATTTGGATTGATAGTACCGACGTTGTTGAGTTTTCCTGAAGGCAAAATGACCATACAAAGTACAGCACAGCCAAGAGCACTCTGTGAGCAGTCCACACCTGCTGCATTCTTCTCCTTCTCCCCACACCCTCTCCATTTGTCAGAAGCTGAGTGCTTTCTCATTTTTAGCATAGGAATCCTGTGACCCCTACTTTCATCCTGTAATGCATGTTGCATACCCTGGAAAATGTGTTATTACATTACAAACTGAAATTTTGTGGCAACATCACATTGAGAAAACGCATCAGAGCCATTTTTACATAGCATACACTCATTTTGTGTCACTGTGTTGCATTTTGGTAATTCTTGCAATATTTCAAAGTTTCTCATTATTATTATATCTTTTGTGGTGACCTGTGATCATACATCTTTGATGATACTATTGTAACTGTTTTGGGGCACAAAACTCCACCCAGATGAACTTAGTTGACCTATGCTGTGAGTATTCTAACTGCTCCGCTAACTGACTATTGCCTCATAACTCTCTCTCTCTCTCTCTCTCTCTCTCTCTCTCTCTCTCTCTTTCTCTTTTTTCCTCCCTCTCTAGGCCTCCCTATTCCTTGAGACACAATAATATTGAAATTAGGTCAAGTGACAGCCCTAAATGGCCTCTCAGCGTTCAGGTGAAAGGAAGAGTCTCTCATTTAAGTCAAAAGCTAAAAATGATTTAACTTGGTGCAGAAGGCCTGTCCAAAGCCGAATTAGGCTAAATTCTAGGCCTTTTTGCCAAAAGGTTAGCCAAGTTGTGAATGCAAAGAAAAAGTTTCTGAAGGAAGTTAAAAGTGCTACTCTGATGAACACAGAAATGATAAGAAAGCAAAACAGGCTTATTGCTGAAATGGAGAAAGTTGTGGTAGGCTGGATGGAAGATCAAAACAGCTACAACATTTGCTTAAGCCAAAGCCTAATCCAGAGAAGGGTTCTAACTCTCTTCAATTCTAGAAATACTAAGAAAGGGGAGGAAGCTTCAGAAGAAAAGACTGAAGCTAGCAGGGGTTGGTTCATGAAGTTTAAGGAAAGAAACTGCCTTCAAGACATGGAAGTGCAAGGCAAAGCAGCAAGAGCTGATATAGAAGCTACATCAAGTGATTCAGAAAGTCTAGGAAATATAATTGTTGAAGGTGGCTGCATTAGAAAACAGATTTTTCATGTAGATAAAATTGTCTTACATTGGAACAAAGTGCCATCTAGGACTTTCATTAATAGAAAGAAGTCAATGCCTTGCTTCAAGGCTTTAAAGGACAGGCTGACTCTCCTATTAGAGGCTAATGCAGCTGGTGACTTTAAGTTGAAGTCAATGCTTATTACCATTCTGAAAATGCTAGAGGCCTTCAGAATTATGTTAAATCTATTCTTCTTGTGTTCTATAATGGAAAAACAAAGACTGGATGACAGCACATGGTTTACTGAATATTTTAAGCCCACTATTGAGACCTAATGTTCAGAAAAAAAGAAAGATTCCTTTTAAAATCTCACTGGTCATTGACAATGTATTTAGTCACCCAAGAGCTTTGATGGAGATGCACAAGGCTAATGTTGTTGTCATGCCTTCATTCTACAGCACACGGATCAAGGAGTAACTTTGACTTTGAAGTCTTATTATTTAAGAAATACATTTTTCAAGGCTATAGCTGCCATAGATAGTGATTCCTCTGATAGATCTGGGAAAAGTAATGTGAAAATCTTCTGGAGAGGATTCACTATTCTAGATGTCCATTCTTAATTCATGGAGGAGGTCAAAACATCAACATTAACGGAAGTTTAGAAGAAGTTGAACCTAACTCTCAGAGATGTCTGAGAGGTTCAAGACTTCAACAGGGGAAATTAACAGCAGATGTAGTAGAAATAGCAAGATAACTAGAATATGAGTTGAGCATGAAG